TTTGCGACCCCAAATTTTGTGAATATGCTCTCTATAATTTTCTCTGATTTTCTCCGAAATTTCAGCTAGATTGGTTCATTCTCCGCGGTTTCGCGGAATTTTCTCCATTTCTCCGAATTTTTCTACATGTTGGTGAATAACCCCACTAGATTTCTTCAATATTTGTAAATTATTCCCGACTTTTTGTTGTTATTTGGCCATTCTATGATGTCGCCGCATGAAAACAGAAAAAAAACGGAAAATCACAGATGAGAATCGAACCAGCGATGCGCGATATGCATTCTACCGTAACGGTGTGCAACGCTTAATGTCACTCTGCGTACAGCGGTCGTTCTCGCCTTTATGTATGCAACCGAGAGGCGGCTTTCTCTTTGCCCGCGTAGCTCAGTCGGTAGCGGCGCCGCACCCTCAATACTCGCCCCGACAAGTTCAACTCCTCGAGGGGCGTATTATGCTTGTCTGAGAAAAAAAGGTTGAGACGCAGAGAAAAAGTGTCTGCGTCTTCACCGTTTGTGTGCTATTTAGGCTCTCCGCTTCGATATCGCTATCGTATTCAGACTGCAAAAAATACTCTCTAACCTTTTTTTTTTCTCAGACAAGCATAATATGTAAACGGAATTTCGAGCAATTTATTTTTTTCATGTCCTCCCACCTTTAAATCAAAAATTTTAGAACTTTTCAGATTTTTCAGCTATTTTTGAAGATTCTTTTTCGCGATTTCCAGTTTTTTTTGTCTGAAAATCGACGGGACGATATTCGTGAAGATTACTGTAGAAGCTAATTCCCTTGTAGTTTTTTTTTGCAAGCACAACCACGTTAGAAATGTGATCGTGCGACGGTGCGATAAAAAATAGATTTTTTACCTGTAAACTGATTCTCCTCCCTTTCCTGTTCCTGTTGGATCTCCAGTCTGTGCTACGTAGTTTTTCTCAATACTGTGGAATTGGTTCAGATTGTAGTACTTTTTCTTGCACAACTTGATAAAATTCAAAGAACATCTTGGACGTTCTTTTACAAATAAATCGATGATAAGGTCTCCAAGAGTGGTTTCCATTAGAACCGCCATCTGAGAATATTTTATTATTGATTAGGTTCTGATCATCAAAAGCGGAAGATCGAAGAAAATAACGATGGTGTACTTAACCAATGATGCAGAAATTTCTCAATTCAGTTAAACAAACAAAGCAGAGAGTATAGAAGCATTACATTTATTCAACATTCAGTAAAAAGCGTTATTGTATCCAAATTGTTTTCTTTACCCCGAATTGATGGTCATCCATTGACTAGCAAGTGTCACAGATAGATTAAAAAATAAAACCAAGGAATGTACATCTTAAATACAAGCTGAGCTGTCTGAAAAGGCTTTGATAACTCAATCAGTGGTCGCTGATCGTTTGAAAAATCGTCCAGTATAGACTCCTGAAAACGAACTTATTGTAAAAGAGCTTAACTAATTCCAAAAGAGGAAAAAAGTACCTGCTACTAATCCACCGACCCCAGCTGCAATTCCAGCTATTGCCGAACCAGCAGCCATCCCAACAGGCCCTCCAACGGCAAGTCCACCAACTAGACCTGCATAAATCGGTGCCTTTGCAGCTTTTGACTTCACCGCCTTTTTCAAATTCTCATTTCCTCTTTTAACATCCTCATTTGCCCTTTCGATTTGTTCTTCAATCGAATCAATCACATCGTGTTGCTCATGAACTATCCGACCGAGCTCTTGGAAAATCTTCTCCAAATCAGCCATATCCTTTTCAACCTTCGCTGTCGCTTCAGCTCGTTCTTTCATATCTGTTGCCAGCTGCCGTAACTCGTTATCTTTCATGGTTGTCTCTTGAAGATATCTTCTCGATTCCATTTCGTATGGATTATCATCTAAATCTCTTTCTTCTTGGTCAAACGGATTTCTTCCAGTTGGAGGAGCGAGAACGGGTAGTGTCTTAGTCACATTAATCAGTGTCTTTATCTGCTGTCTGAAACAGGGAAAATGAAAGACCAGCTATTGAAACATGGCAACGTACCTGATCGGCTCGATTATAGAATCAAATTCATGTTCTTGACTAATATCTGTCATCTCTCCACGGACAGCTAGAATCCCTCGCAGTCCTTCTTCAAGATCTCTTTCATACGTAGATATCTAAACAGAATCATTTTAAAATACCATCTGTATTTTTCAGTTAATACCGATTCTCGGAGTGCGGGTGTATCTCTGAGACCGCCCTGCAATGCAATTCTTTGCAAGTCTCTCAACTCGCCTAATTGCCGATTAGCTGTTTTTTCATACATGTGTACCAATGTGCTGAATCTCTGTGATGAAGTCATCTGAAATAATCTCAAATGATGGGGAAAATATCGCTTTAGGAAGAGATGAAATAACAATGTGATAAATACATCTTCACAGAATCAAATTTAATGAGAATGAATAATTTACTGCTTAAAACAAGAAAAAAGTTGTAACATGTTATTTATCACTGGCAACTTCTTCATCTACCGTTCCAATTTCATGAGATATTTGTCGATCTCTTTGTGGAAGCTTCTGAAAATTTCTACATAGATCGAGATTTCAATAATAATCAAGATTACCTTCCAGCTTGATTTTGAGCTTCAGCGACAATTTGAAGTGAGCTAATCAACTGACGGAACGAAGTTCTTCCACCCATCATCAGCAATGCATCATCCAACTCGGTGAACAAACCACGTATTTTCCGTTCCACCGACACTTCATTTTTGACACCGGTTCGGAATGCCATCACACAATGAGAGTTCACACATTTTTCAACTACCAATTCGAATCGAGCAGCAACAGAGATTATGGATGATAAAGCATTGATTGATCTTATGAGCTGTAAAGAAGAGTTTTCAAACGGAGCATTTTTTGTAATCGTTACTTTGATACAAGACCAATACTGCCTATCATGAAACTGCCGGCAGGAAGGTTGTTCTATCATGTTCGGCATAAAAATAGGCATGAAAATATCATTTGTGAGGGCGTCGCATATCCTTTCCCTGATTGCCATCAACAATGCATTGAACTGTTTGCTCTTTTCAGTCAAGTTGGGCAATTTTTCGAAAATTGAGCAACATGTGGCAAGATTTCGAGTCTGTCGAAGCGACATTGGATCCCATTCTTCTTTCACGGTATCTGAAATAATTTCACGAAAGTCTGTGGTCATAACCTCGTAACCCACCTATCAGAAAAGGAACAACAACTTTTTCAATGATGGCAGGTGCCAGCTCAACAAGAATATCATGTGTCTGATCGATTTCGGCATTTTCAGAACCCGCAAGTACAGCAGTTTTGAACCATTGCATCGATGTTAGAACTGTTTCATTCTGTAAATTGAATGTTACTTATTTACTTCTTCAAAACTCAACATACGTTCAGAATATCAGCTTGTAACATCTCCAACCGAACATATGGAGAACATAGCTTCGGGAGACACAAATACACGTAGGCATCTTGAAATGACTTGGAATCAACTGCTAGCCAGTCAATCATCCTTCCCAATACTTTCCGAAGATCAGAATATTCATCTAGAGCATCAGCAAACAAGACAGATGCTACTGCTTCCACTTCGTCGTATGTTTTTTTGTCAGAAGCCGTTTGTTGAGTGGTCTCTTCGTCATCAGTGCTGAGTCCTTCTTCATGAGAAATTCCGGAAAGAGTGGTCTCTCGCTCCGACGACGTCGTCCTCTGAAACGAAAAGTTGATATTCATAGGGGAATCGCAAAGGAATCAATAGCAAATATCATATGAATGTTTTGTTATGCGGCGAGAGTCGGGCAAGTTATTGTTCAATATTCACATGATGATTGCGAAATATCACAACAGAAGGATAGCGAAGAAATGAAAAAATTGAACAAAAGTTCCTCTTTTTAGCTAGAACTTACCTTCGCGCTTCTCGTTCTGCTGATCTCGTCGCTGCTTCTCCCATTTTAGCCGATTTTCCTTGCATACACTCCGCGTGTTGATCCCTCGTGTCTTGCCGTCGTCTCGACATGATTCTCATTGTTTTAGCTCTACCACAATCTCTTCTTTTATCAACTATTCCATTGATTTCAGCCACTTTTTCGTTTAAACATTCCAAAAGACGTCGCGAATAAACTCGCAACTCCTGGTACATTGTGTATTTTGTGCTTTGGGTGGGAAGTTCGGATTCCAGCTGAAAATAAAGACATGAATACAGACATATCAAAGATGTCGACTATACCTTTGCAATCAAAGCTTTATTCTCTTCGATATTCTGATGCAACTTTCTTTTCTCTTCCTTCCGGAAATTGAGTGCTTCGTCTCGTTCTTGAATTCGCAGCTTTAGCTTAGCAAGAATGTCTCCGATTTTTACAACACCTCCGGTATTTTTTGGGCCTAAAATTATTTAATGAATAAATGACGAAAAAACAAGATTTTCTGAATAAAGTTATAGAATACAAATACCTGAAAAATCAGGTTTTCCGATCACTTGTACATCCATTTCCAGATCAATATCCATATCCATTGCGGTATCATCTTCTATCGGAGCAACATGACCAAAAAGTTGAGAAGTGTTCCGTTTCTCTGTTCGGAGTTGTACAATCTGAAAATGCACATGGTCAGAAACAACCGAATCATGAAAAGTTCTAACCTCTCTCTTGCTCACAGCTTTCCTTATTTGTTGTCTTTCCCATTCTTCATTCTCACTATCTTCATCCTTCTTCCGATCTGATTCGTCTACATCTCCATGCTCTCTTTCTAGAAATCGTTCCTGTTCTTCTCTTCTTCTATCTTCCTCTGAACGGAGTAACTCTCGAGCCGAATAAAAATTGTTAGCGCATTCTTCATCAGAGTCGTCGTTTTCATCTTCACGAATGAGCCTATTCCGTTCATTCTTAGATTTTAACTTTTGTGTATCATCCAAAGGAATGTAACCATCTTGATTTCCCTCTCTTCGTGCCCTCTCTCGACGTTTCTTGGCTTCAAAAACAGCACGAGAATCAGGAATCCCTTCAAATACCGATGCGAACTTGTTGGACACTGAGCTTATTGCATCTCCATCAATATTTAGATCTTCGTCGTAATCGAAACTTTCGGTATTGGAAATGTGCTTAGCTGATTTATCTCGATACTTGTCCAAATATTTTTGTTTTTCATTGTTCGTTTTCTTGTCTTCTCTGGACTGTTTTTCTTTTTTTACAATTTTCTCCAAAGCTTCTTTCCGTTCTTTTTCCTGCTTGCAGATTTGTTCAGCCTCTTCTTCCAATCTGTGCTGTCGTTTTAGCTCTTCGACTTTCTTCTTGTCCTTTTTGAGTTTGAAGAAAGAGTCAGCGCCTTCATCTGCATCAAAACTGATAGTTGCACGCGGGACAGCCGTTTTTTTTACCTGAAACTTGAAAAATATGGTTAGTCAAAGAATAAGCAAAAACAAACCTCGTTTATAGGAGGTTTGTCTTGATTCTCTGCATCAGGCTCATCCCAAGCTTCAGTATTCCGTTGACGGATAGCTCCTTTTGTTTTTGGTTTACGAAACATTTAGAAAAATAAAAATATTGCAGAAAAGAAAGAAAATTTATTCGAAAACTGGAGTCTCAGTTTTTTTTCGAACAATTGTGTCGTCAGATTCGGTGCTTGGTGTGCATACACGCACTGGTGTTGAGCTATTTTTGCATCTTATTTGACGAGCGACTTTTTCGTAAATCGTCTGTCGGCTTTTCGTATTCTATCAATTGAGGCGTATTTTTAACTTCAGAACATCTCTCTTCAAATTTTCAAATCGTTCTCTATCGGTTCTTAACATATTTCGCAATTGTTTCTTTTCAGAATGGGTGACTACGTTCCTGGCTTCGAACAACGCGAGAGCGATAATCGCAGCTTCGGGCATTCTCGCCTTCCAACTCTTGGAGCTATTCCTGTAAAAAATGAGAAGGGACAAACTGTGATGCAGAAAGTCAAAGTGTCGAGATATGTTGCTGGAAAGGCGTACGTTTTTTTTATGTTCTCAAGTTTTGTCGGATGTAGTAACACATTCTGTTCCTGACACTGACAACAATGTTTCTGACAAGGGAGTTACTTGAGGGGCGGGTTTAACTTTTTTTGAAATTTTGGGAGCAGATAGAAGAGCTTATGAGAATTCCAAATCTGTTAAAAAATCAGCAAAATGCACACGTGGGCTGAGTTATGACCTAGAAAAGTTTCCCTATGATTAAGCAATTTCTCGTGAAATTTTTTCACGTAATAGTGTATTTCTTTTAAAACAATAGATTTCAATCATCAGTGTGGTAAAGTGGTAAAATGGCAAATTCAGAGGAGGAAGGTTGTAGGTTCGATTCTCCCGATCCCAAAAATTTTGCAAAATTTTTTTGTTTTTTTTATTGAAAAACAGTTGAGGATTCTAAACACATCGGTGGCATTCGATGACAAACTGCTGGAAACATATGTTATTCAAAATCAACGGTCAATACTTTGACTGCTTCCTTCACAGAAACTTGTCTATGTGGAACCGTGTATGTAAGGTGATAAATTCTAAGCTCAGTCCGGTGGCGTTTGCTAAGTGAGTAGGAGCGATTCCTTATGATATTCTGATCCCTCCCACTTGACCTACAGGACTCTAGTCGGTCCGTCTGGTCATTTTACTTTTTTATTTGTACAGGTCCCATTTCTTGCCAAATTATCTATCGATTTCCCCCATGCATTGCAAATAAATATATTATTATTATTATTGGCACAATACGCGCATTTGACCATTGACAATCTTTTGCACCCAGATAATTGGCGCTTTCCATAAACTTTCCGGTCGAAGCAATATTGAATTGGTCTGTCACATTTCGGAGCGCAACTGTCCACATAACCGCCAGAATACCAGGCATACTGTCTTCATTCTTGGAAGATGGGAGAGCACATCTGCCAATATGCTTGGCTCAGCATCTGCAGTTATGGCAGCTTAAAATAAAACAAAAAAAATTTGCAAAATTTTTGGGATCGGGAGAATCGAACCTACAACTTTCCCCCTCTGAATTTGCCATTTTACCACTTTACCACACTGCTGATTGAAATCTATTGTTTTAAAAGAAATACACTATTACGTGAAAAAAATTTCACGAGAAATTGTTTAATCATAGGGAAACTTTTCTAGGTCATAACTCAGCTCACGTGTGCATTTTGCTGATTTTTTTAACAGATTTGGAATCCTCATAAGTTCTTCTATCTGCTCCCAAAATTTCAAATAAAGTTAAACCCGCCCCCTCAAGTAATTCCCTTGTGAGTTTCTGTTTGTTTTTTTCTAATAATGTTGATTTTTCGTTTTTCAGCCCAGAGTATGCTCGAAACTATGAGAGTGACAGTAGCGACTCAGATCATGAAAAACAACGAGAAGACGAGGGTCGTAGACGCAGACGTCGTGATAGCAGTGATGAAGACGATAGAAGACACCACAGAAGAAATGAAGATCATGGAAGACGACGTCAAGTAGAGAGACCAGAAATTCTTGGCCGAGAAGAAGAAGAGTCGTCCGGGAAAGAACAGGACTCGGATGAGGATGAGGATCAGAAAGAGGAACGGAGACAAAGAGTTCGAATGAGAATGTTGGAATTGCAACGGAATAATAGAGACAAAGAATGGGTGGAGGAAGAGGATGAGGATTCTGATGAAGAAGAATTTGAACGAAAACGACAAAGAATTAGAGAGCAGGTGCTGAAAAGGGAAGAAATGATGAAAAAGGAAATAAAAGAAGAAGAAGAGGAGGATGAAGTTGAAGAAGAAGAGGAGGAAGAGGAAAGCAGTGAAGAAGATGATTCAGATGAGGATATCGATCCAGTTCCAAGACTGAAGCCGATTTTCACTAGAGGAAAAGATCGTATAACTTTATTGAAAGCAGAAAAAGAAAAGGAAGAAGAAATTCAAAGAAAAATAGAGGAGGAGAAAAGAGCCGAGGAAAGAAAACGAGAAAGTGCAAGGCTTGTGGAGAAAGTTCTTCAGGAAGAAGAGGAAGCAGAAAAACGGAAAACTGACGATCGTGTTGATTTGACGTCAGTTCTCACTGATGATGAGACAGAAAATATGGCTTATGAAGCGTGGAAGTTGAGAGAGATGAAGAGGTTGAAGGTAATAAATCAAGACCGTTTCCTTCCCAAATCGCATTCTTTTTGGTGAAGCATACATATTAAGTCTAGTCTCAATTAATGATTGTATATCTAATTTCAGAGAAACCGAGATGAACGGGAAGCTGCTGCACGAGAGAAGGCTGAACTTGACAAGATTCATGCGATGACAGAAGAAGAGCGTTTGAAATACTTGCGATTGAATCCAAAGATCATCACAAACAAACAGGACAAAGGAAAATACAAGTTCCTACAAAAATATTTCCATCGTGGAGCTTTCTTCTTGGATGAGGAAGACGAGGTTCTAAAACGTAATTTCGCGGAAGCTACCAACGATGATCAGTTTGACAAGACGATTCTACCGAAGGTTATGCAGGTATGTAATTTCTCATTTTGTATGAAATTAATATCCAATATTCCTTTTTTCAGGTCAAAAACTTTGGAAAAGCTTCACGAACCAAATATACACATTTGACTGAAGAAGACACCACGGATCACCAAGGTGTCTGGGCATCCTCTAATCAACTGAATTCCCAATTTTACTCGAAAAGAGCTGGAGGATCACGACCAGTTTTCGAACGTCCAGCTACCAAGAAGAGAAAAACATGAGGTCCTCTATGCCATTCTTCCATTCCTTGAAGGCTAAATTCATAACGAATTTCAACCATTAATTGTTTGTCTCAAATATGTTCAATAAAGTATTTTTCAAGCCTATTGAGTTGCAAGGGCAATTCCCGTATCGGAACACCAAAGTTCAAAGTTCTCTTTGCCTCCGACCAACTGACTAATGCAAAAGCCAAACAATTGTATTCCTGTTCAGAAAAAAACGAAACAAACCAACTGCTGCCCTCTTTTTTGAGCGAAGAACCCAAACTGTAGCCCACAGTTTATTGAAACCTCTTTTCTTTTATTTAAGTCTTGTTTTTCAAATGCATTCAACCTGAGCGAGCCAACATCTTCCATTCGTCCTTGTTTTCGCCTGTTTTCATCCTTTTTCAAGGTCTGTCTTCATGTCAAAAGGCGTGTGTAGGTTGGCGATCGACACTTTTTTTTTCGATTTGGCGACTGAGTGGTTCTGTGTTTTTAATTAAAAACGGGTCAGTGGTTTGTATGCATGTTTGCAAAGTGTCCTATTTCTTCAAACAACATTTATTTCCTTCTACTCCGTCTAATACTGAACCCGAAACTCCTGTGAAAGTTCTCTCTTTACTGGTTTATTAATTTTCCTCGAAAAAGTTTTTTCGTCCATTTCTGTGTTGCGAAATTCAAATTTCTCCAGATGGTCGACTGATTGGCACGCATGTGACCTGAACAGACAGTTTGCACTGAATGAATTTGATGATATTCGAAAAAAAGTAATGCTTCATTTAGAAAGAAACGAAATATTAGCTTCCTGAAGATGTTTTTTTTTGTGCACCCTATTGGGTGAATAATTTACGAATAGCGCACAACTGTTGATTGTTGACGCGTACATCGATAAAAAAGCAAAATTCAAAAAGTTCAGAAGAAATTAATTTGTTCGTGAACCGACATAGTGATGGATTTGAGAGTCTAGGCATCACTTTTCCCCTCAATTCTTCCCTTTCTAGGTCATTCCACGGCAATCCAAGCCAAAAATTCCACGCCAAAAATCACACGCCGAATAAACAAGCAAAGAATTTTGGAAAAAAATAAATAAATTTTAACCAAATCTACAGTAATCTGAGCCGAATCGGAGTGATTCAAAACCTATCTCCTCCCTCATTTTTGAAAATAATTTATATCAAAATGTTTGCGAGAAAATTTTGCACAAAAGTTACTTAATTAGAAAATTTTATAATCGATGGTATTTTTATAGATCCCCAAAAACCTCGAAAAATTTAATTTTTCAGTTGGTTTTCTAGAAAATGTATCTCCTCCTTCAATTCTTAACCAAATTTAACGCTCAGGGTCATTTTGTGTGTTTTTGCTCCCTCATAATTACTTATTTTGAAATCAAAATTTTCGACCCAGAATTTTTAAATGCCGAAAAACTAAATTTTTCACTGTATCGCGAAAAGCGCCCACAAATCAGAAAAAAAATCAAATTTCGTAAATTATTCACCGTGCCCTACAGTAAAACGTTTGATCGTGGCAAGGACCTAAGAAAATTAAACACAATGCGCCTTCGATACGGAATCGAAACCGCCCAAAATATAAATCACACCGCCCAAATATCAAATATGTTTTGCTCGAGTCATTACTTACCAAAAATCAGAAATTTGACCGAATTTTGTAGGAAAACTATTTCTATTCATCATTATTTCTTATCAAAGTTGTGTTTTATTATAGTTATTTAGTATACGACCTAAAAGAATTTTGAACTTTTTTTTGTGTTTCCTACAGTAAGACTTTTGCTCGCGGGGAGAATCTGTGAAAAGTTAAACGCAATGCGCCTTCGTTACGGTTATCCTACCGCCCAACTATCGCAGCATTTTGTTTCGTTTGAGTCATTACTTATCAAAAATCAAGAATTCGACCAATTTTTGTGGGAACGCCATTCCTATCAATATTTCTTATCAAAAACGGAAAACGTAGGCAGAGAAAACAAAATTGGAGATGACTCATCTCTTCTCCACTTTTTTGTGGGCAGATTCAGGGGAAAAGTGGGCAAACTACATTGGTTTCTATTTTTTCTCGTCTCCAAGATTTCGACTTTCTTACTTTATACTATCGATTTCATTATTCTTTTTATAGAAAATGTCGGCTTTCGCTTCTTCGGACCGCGCTGAAAAGTCTGGAATTGCCCTGGAGGCTCAACAAAAAATCTACGAGAAATACGACAAGAATCTTGCAGGGGAAATTCTCCAATGGGTTCAGGTTTGTTTGATGATTTAGAAAGTATTGCTATATTTGACTTTTTTTAGGATGTCACCGGGCTTTCATTCGACACTCAAGGAGACGCTGATAATTTCGTCAAAGTTTTCCAAGACGGAAGTGTTCTGTGCAATCTTGCAAACGCTCTCAAGCCAGGAAGCGTCAAAAAAGTTAACACTTCTGCTATGGCTTTCAAGAAAATGGAGAATATTTCATTCTTCCTGAAGTTCGCAGAGGAATTCGTTCAAAAGTCTGAACTCTTCCAGGTATTCTTTGAAAGTGTAAGGATTGAAGAAACTACGATTATATTTACAGACCGTTGACCTGTATGAAGGACAGGATCCGAATGCAGTGCTCATCTGCCTTGCTTCGTTGGCTCGTAAATCTGAGAAACACTTTGGACGCTCGGGACTTGGACCAAAAGAAGCACAGGGAGATCGTCGGGAATGGACTGAGGAGCAGCTGAAGGTTAGTAAAAATCGAGTTTGTATAAAACTGAAAATAAATTGCAGGCTGGCCAAAATGTGATCGGGCTCCAAATGGGCAGCAATAAGGGTGCTACTGCCTCTGGACTCAATATGGGAAATACGCGACACATGTAGAACATTTGAAGAGCTATATATTATTTGAATACCGGTTGTTAACATCAATTGAGTATAATCCCTTGGTTCATATTAGTTATTGCTCTTAATTCCATTGTTGTTTTCCCCGCAAAGGTATTTATTGTCATTGAAGCTTGAAAGGTTATAATGAATATATAAAGCATAAATTGCAAAAAAAGAAGCTAAAGAGATCATTGTTGACTAGAAGTGTATAGAAATGATTGAGATTTATTTACAAGTTTCCAAATGGCGATTCAAGTAGGAACGAAGAGCAAATCGTCGTCCACATTTGTCGCATTCGAATCGTTTGTCCCCTGAAAATTCACTCAATTTACAAAAACTTCGTTTTATTGAGACCTGTATGAGTGAGCATATGTGCTCTCAAATTGCTCCGATCAGCAAACGATTTCCCACAATGGGCACATGGAAACGGTCGAATACCAGTGTGAGATCTGAGATGTCCCTGTAACAGCCAAAGACGAGAAAACCGTTTTCCACAGACATTACACTCGTGAGCAGCATTATGTGTTAAGATATGCATACTGAAACAAACTCTCTTAATTAACAACCATCTGGCTTCCCGATTCTTAAAATTTCCCAATCAGTTTTGAATACCTAGAATTATATAATCATATTTTTTATTATCCCCAATTACAAGCGCATATATAAATGCGAGGGTGAGTAAAAACAGGTACAGGTGGTGATTGCGCAACAAGAATATTCAGACAGAACAACTAGCTGAATGAAGAGGACAGGTGCGAATTGTTGGCTGGTTTAATAATAAGAGAAGAGCAAGTCGGGGATTAACCTCATAAAAGGGTTCAATTACATTTGGTATTACGGGGGATCATGTGTAACACTGTTGAAAAGCTGATAATCGAGAAGTTTGGATTACTGTAGGCCTATGTAGACACTGCCATTCGAGAAACATACCTCAACGCAGGCATGCTCACATATACTCGATCGCAATGGGGGCATTGTTTGGCATGAGGACTATCCAGTGCCCGGTGGGTCTGAAAACAATGCGATTAGAATTCAAACAGAAAATCGTCTAATTTGCTAAATTGGACTTCAATGCTATCAAACAAATTGAGAGTGACATACAGTACCACTTCTTATATTTTTTGTGTTCGGTGAAAATGACAACATTTCGATGTCTCAAATAAATTTTTTTTAACTTGTCCAATTATTCCGACTTTTCTTTTATTATACTGGTAAAAAGAAGTTGGAGTTGTGGAAAAGATACACCAGTGGCCGAAGGTCTCACAACGACCACTCCAGTAACCTAAAATATTTTCTTTCAAGGATTTGTTTTCTCTTTTTTACTTATTTTTGCAGACTTTTCTGTTAATTTAAAAAAAAATGTTTCGGTAGTCAAACAATTGACTGAAAACGCATAAAAAACGAGATAACAAACCAGAAAAACAAAACCATCTTTAGGTTACGGTAGTTGTTGTTGTGGGACCTTCGACCACGGGCACCGTTCTCTTCCACAGCTCCGACTTGAGAGTAATAACTTATTTGAAATGATCCTCCTCACTGAGATATACCAAAGTGTCTAACCTATTCTTTTTGTTTTTTTTACAGAAAGCTTGTCAGCTGCTAAAGTTCAGCTGATGATGCTCCGAAGTTTTCAGATCAAGCAAACAACCAAGATTTAAGACACCTAATGTTCATCGTTTCGAGAAAACTATCCCCAAAACCTTTAATACAAGAGCTCCCAAACTTTCAATTTTAAGCCTATTTTCTAGGTTCCTGTCAAAGATATAACAAGTTTTTCATTGATGAATTAATTTTCAAGAAAAATATCACAAGCATTTTATCAGTTGACAAATTTTTGATATCTTGCATTGGAATTGAGATAAATTAGATCCCACTGGACAATATGGGGACCCTTCTATTACAAGTTTTACAGTTCATGGAGTGATACCATGCGCGCCCAGCTGCCTCTAACCAATATTTGTTGCATCATCATACTAACCTGTTTATGCCGGCTGAGATTTGAAGTTGTTGCGTAACTCTTCCCGCATTTGTCACAAACGCAACGGTTTTGAGACGACGACGAGAGACTAAAATAGAGATCAAGGTTGAGCTTGAAAATGAAATACCGTATTAACTCTAATTGTAGAAGACCATTCAAATCCTCAAATTTGAGATCCATAATCTCGAGTCTTGTGAAAGCTAGCAAAAGTTTGTCAGCTTGAAATTTGTTCATCATATAACCATAATTTTATCAGTTGACACATTTCTGGTATTTTTCACAGGAATGGAGATGCTCAACGTTGAAGGTTTGGATGGGCTTCTGTGAGAGGAAATACGTTAAGATGCAATATTGGTATATTTTTTTTTTTCAGAAAGAGTTTAAGAAATTCAGTTGGAAAAGAACAAAAAAAGCTTGCGAGAATGCTCTTTGTATTCAAATGATTCAAATTCTCTAAATCTAACTGAAAATAAGTAAAATCATCCCTCTCTTCAGCTTCTTTCCACTTCTCAATCAAACCTACCGTACCCTTATGTCTGTCTTCTTGCAAAGAAAGAGAGGTAACCAAAATGATAACTGTTAGTATTGAAACTCGTTTGTAACGATTTCAACAATGTTATACTTATGAAACTTGTTTTTCATCAAGATAACGGAGAGTTCTCCGCGGTCCTTCTAATTCTTAACTTCAGATACTGTAACACATGCAATAGAAGGGCTTACTTTCTACTTTGATACTATTTATCTCGATTTCTATTGAAGGTATAAAAAAAGTTATTGTCAGTTAAATTGTTTATCATAACAGCAGAAGTGTTTTGTCAGTTGCCACAATGTTCATTTCTTTTACAAGGACCGAGATAAAGTAGCTGGAACTTTTCAGTGTGGGGGGGGGGGGGTGGCTTCTATTACAGACGGTTCAAGGAGTTGTGGCTGAATACAGTACCAAAAAAGTTGATGGCCTTCTTTGCATATTTTTAAAATAAAATAAAATACCTAAGATATATTTCGGAAAAGTTTCAAAAAGAGTTTCAACTTACTTCTTTTTGTTTAAACTTCTTCTATCGATGCTTTGCAGAGAATCGAGAGTGTAGCCAGTTGAGGAAGTGGGAGAAGGAGATGAAGATGAATCACCATCATTCTCTAGTTCAATTTTTGGAATTATTATAGGATTCGTTGTGTTCAAAATATTCTCTATTGAGAAAGCATTTGTTTGAGGTTGTAACGGAGATTTCTTCGGTGGTTCCGACGATTCAGAAGAACTTGAAGATGATGAAGAGTGAGTGAGAGTTTTTTGAATTTGAACTAGATTTATCAGGTTCCATAGTTGTACATCTGAAAGTTAACGAAATCTCAAATAGAATTACAAAAGATTGGGATTACCGAAGTTTGAATAGTCCCCACCGGAAGTGGTAGGTCGTGAATTAAGATTCAGATTTGAAGTTATCATAATATGATTTAACCCAATTATGGGTGTCAAGTAAACTACAATAAACTGTTGAGCATCTTGGCTGAAGCTCAAAACATGGGCGGGGCAAAGCCAGCTACGATTGGTTCAGCTCAGAAAAGGGGCGTGGATCATCAGAGGGTGTTGCCACCCGGCTGGCATCAATAGAGGGGCTGGCAGCAAATATTCAGGGTAATAAGGTTTATGGGGGAGTTTTAAAGAATAATACAATATCGAAAAAGGTTCCCTTTTGCTATCGGCCCTAACGAAAACAGAAATCATGTTCAGAACCTGGAATTACCTTACTTGCAAAAACTGAAATTTGAAACGGAATGATAAAAGACGTTCAAAAATATCATCTGGTTTCCAGTTCTCATTGAGAGGAACAACGAATTCAGTTGTAGAAGTAGTTATTGTATACTCCAAATTACCATCAAGTTTTTTTCGAAAAAATTGTTTTTCATTTTCAATTTCTCAGATTTCGACCCTGATTTTCTCGAAAAGGGTAGTTCTTTAGCAAAAAAAAACAAAATAAATATTTGAAAATGTATCATTCTCAGCTTTCAAATAATATAGATCTTATACAAAAGCTCCACCTCCCGATTGCAACCATCCCTAGTTAGGTTACATTTTTAAAAAGTTGATAGCAACTGATTTTCAAATTTTTCAGGTAACATTTTCATAAAATGCATTCTAAAACAATTAACTAAAATCAAACCAGTGAAAAATAGCGACATCCCAAAATTTTTTTGCTTGAACCAACAGTTCTGCTATCCTCAGCTTCATTTTCATACCGTATTCCATTCACTCCCCCTTTGAGCTTATTCAATCAGAAGAGCAGATGGAGCAGGTGACACTGTTCATGACCTGTTACATCATACCTAATTTTAACGCCGGCTGTCTATTCGATCTGACTAAATAGTAGGTTTGTCTCTGTTTGGATATGAGCCCACCCGTTTTGGCTTTTCGAGAACATTTGAACATTTGGATCTCGAGATAAGCGGATGAACTACGCGAAATTCTAATTGAAGCCAAAGACACATGAAGAACTTCTTATAACACATATTTGCTAACTGGAAGAACCAAAACTTAAAATACAGAATCAGTATGAAGAATTTATGAAATTCCTGAAGGTAACCTAAAAGTTCAGGTAACCAGATTTTTAAGAAACACCGTTCTGATTTCCATTCAATGACCATGAATACATCTTCAAATATTTCTCAAATTGTTCTTGGGAATCCAATTGTCTTCTAAACGTATTAAACTGCAAGTTCGGTTTGGTTTTACAAAACACCTTAAATACTCTAATAGAATGTCCAGTAACCTTCAACAAACCGTATTGTATCATATTGTATGATTTTGCATTTTTCTGAAAGCAAACAACTTTTTCTACAATAGCTAGTCGTTAAATTCTTGACAAATGAGGTTTGAGCCTATTGAAACTCGGTTTCTGTAATACAAGGAAAGGGGCACCGTCGAAAAACTGCTAAATGACAGCTGAAAAGGCGCAAACTGGCGAGTTGGCAGCCGAAGGAGAACCGACGGACCGTCCACGGGCAATCGGAACCCTATGCAAAATCGACTTGAAAGTTTCGATTGAAAATCAGCCAGAAAACAATATTTCGCACTGCCACTACAACGATGATAAAAGTTAATTTTCCTCCCATCGGATCACCTCAAAAATAGGTTGTTAAGGTTCGGGAGTCCCCCTCTACATGTGAAAATATATCGAATGATGCTTAACTGGCAAAATCTACATCGTAGTTTAAACCGTTTTTTTTAACAGTGGGTACCTTTTTGATATTTCTTAAATTGACCGAGATAAATCAGCTCAAAGTTGGCGTTATGTGTTTTCCAACCAGTTCCCAGATTCCAAAAACCATTATGACAAGATAGGCAACACTATTACATATTGTTGTTCAGCAATCCATTTTGAAGAAGAAAACAGGTCGAGTGTTGAAGCAGACACGTGTCATTGTTTTGTTCTCAATGACCACTTGATGATAATAGTCTAATGGGTTCGCTTGTAAGATTGAAAACACCTGTTTTCAGTCCATAAGAGTGGCCGAGAAGATGTTCCAAGAAGACATTTGTGGTAAAGAAATAATTTTTTAAAAGTTATGTTTTGAAATTCAAAGTTTTATTTTTTATATGTATGGTAGAAGAGCACCCTCGCCGTAGGCTCAGACCAAAGTTACCGTAAACACTCTAGTAGAGTGTCTGTCAACTTTGAACCCATATATCTCATTCCCTGCAAAATATAACAAAAATTGGTCAACTAAACAAAATATTTTTGACATTACTATAAACATTTTATCAGTTGACCAGTTTTTGATATCTCTTACTGGAACTGAGATACATGTGCTGGAATTTGAAGGTTTGGGTGGCACTCTATTAGAGTGTTTACGGTATGTAGGTTTTTGAAACATGTATATTTTGGAGCACACTGTTCATTTATTTGAAACTTTGCTCAAGAAATCCAATTAGAAAAAAATTATTCTAGAAATTTTGAAATTTTCCGATTTAAAAAATTTCGGTTGTGTTAAATATCAAAAGGTTTCGCTTTAACTAAATACCTCTCACAGCTGTAAATAGGTTTTACGGTATTTTCCAGGAATCTGAGAATTGAGAATTTTTCCGACAAAAAATTGCCTCGATCCGTTTCCGTTTTTCTGTATTTCGGAAAATGAGTTTCCTTCCTTCCGTGTTAAATATGTTCTTGATGTTTTTAAGCTGACTGCTTCTACAGTAACCATCGCTTTTCACTAACAGAGCAATCCATTATTTGTATTACACAACAATTCTTTTTCAACTTTCTCTAATCGGCTCGTCAATCATCAAATTGGCTCCTCGTCTTCTTCGTTTTGGAGGCACCCGTGGGGGGTCAACTCTTTCTTAAAAGGCATATGGCCGTCTGTCAAACGGGCTTCTAACCAGATGATGATGATGATATCTCAGCAGGAGACACATTTTGTTCTCTTTGAAGATACTCATGTCTTTTCTTTTCGTCTTCTTCTCTTCTTTGTCAATTGCATAATCTTTTCACATTTGTTTGACAGGCGGTAGAGGGAAGTCCAAGAAACCCGAAAAGTCAGAAATAGGAAGCGAGATAATTATGGAGAAGGGTAAGAATAGTTTCACAGATATTAAGAAGAGTTTTTATGAAAACCGTACAAACATTCATCTGGTCCAGAACATCGGAGCTGTGGAAGAGAAAAACCGCTGGACGTGGCCGAAGGTCCCAAAACGAAAACTACCGTAACCTAAAAGTATTTTTGTTTTCGCATTATTGTTGTCTGAAAAAAAAGGTTGAGACGTAGAGAAGGTGTCTGCGTCTCCACATAGTATGTGTTATTTAGGCTCGTCGCTTCGATATCCCTACCGTATTCAGACTGCAAAAATACTCTCTAACCTTTCTTTTCTCAGACAGCAATAATAGTTTTTTCTCGTTTTTCACTGCTTTTCGTCGCAATCTCTGTCATTTTTCACCAAAAAAAAGAAAATATCTTTGACAGTGAGAAATTGACTATTCCGAGAAAACTTTTTATTCCGGATTTCAATCATATTTGCAATAATTTTCTGACTTTTTTAAACTTAGAGGTATCTGCCTAATTTTTTGAAAATCGGATTTGGGACAACAAATTACACCTAGTGGACGATTTTTGTGATAAAACCTTGAAAACTACCCGAGTTATCTGGAAGTCTGAAAATATGCGTTTTGCGACCGTTGAAAGTTTATACGTCCACTCCAAAGATCAGTAGATAACGACCTCCAGCAAAGACGGAGGTGTCCAATTTTAATTCTTCCTTCTTGGACACGGGCTTGGAAACAAGAAAAATGAAATAGAAGATGAAAAAGAGATTTATTGAAGAAAAATAGTTTCAAATGTAGATATTCCTGAACATATCAACAAAAATTATGAAAAATGACAAATTTCAAAAGTGTACTGATTAGCCAGACTTTCGTCCGTTGATCCCTTTCGCCACGTAGAGGCTCAGTACATGAAAGGGAAAATGGGTTTTCACTGGGGGAAAACACCAACACAAAACCCCGGTCTCCGAGGAGACAGTTTTCTAATTTTCCATAGTTCTTTTTCACTGCTAAAAAGCTATATGATCGCTATTTATTGTCTAATTCATTTGTTCCTTTTTTCTTTGATTGGGTCTTTTGCAAAAGGGGGACGTTCAGTGAAAATGATTTCACCTAGCCATGAACCACCAAACATGGCGACCCTAAGGGTCTTTTATAACTTTTTTCGCATCCGACCAATCGAAGAAAAAAGCAAATGAAACAATAAACAGCTTACGCAGGGAGCTTGAGGGCAGTCAAAAAGTGCTAGTGAAAATTATCAAACTAATTCAAAAAGTGGGATTTCCCAAAGGACTTTTTTTAACGTGGAATTTTTACAAAGTGGACAGAGGTAGGGGGCGTGACCTACTATTGATTGATTTACAGGTTTATTGCGTAACGTGTAAAAAGTTTTAAAAAATCGAAAATTGAAAGTAAATTAACGTAACCCATTAAAAAACTGAAAAACTGAGGGCGAACGAGTAAAAACTAGGTAGGTTGAATCACGCCGAAGGCGCATTGTCTGTTGTTTTATTTATTGGGAAATTATCTCGATTCCTATGAAAGATACTCGAAACTTGTCAACTAATAAAATGCTAGTGGTATAAAGGTGATAATTTTGTCAGATACTTTAACAACAGTCCCCACTTTTCAATTTTTCAGAAAGTATCAAAAATATCAGTAGGTGTTTACCACTCGTATCGGGGACTAGATCCCGGGACTGAAATTACTTTATTCCAGATTCCGGATTCCGTTCCTCAAAAAATTAATTCCGGCCATCTCTGCTTAGAACATATTTACGAAAATCGAGAAATATTTTTAGGTTAAGGTAGTTGTCGTTGTGATACCATTGACCACGGGTATCGGCGTTTCTTGTCCACAGTTCCGATTTTCTTGTGCCAGCATAATAGGAAACCGAATTATTAAAAGTGTATTCTGAATACTATTTTGAACGGTCCTAGTTTTGGAGGGTCCCTTGCATTAAGAAATCGCGATTTACAACCACATTTGATAATAAATAAATAAATTTATCCATGTTGGAAAGAGATCATAGACAAATTCATCTTTAAATGATAAGAAGTTTATGACCAAATGTTACACATTGTCAAAAATATTCTGCAAAGAAAGAGTCTTGGAAACAACAGAACAGGAAAGAGGAAGAAATAATAAATTAGTTCGAGTCATTGAAGATAAAGTTGAATCTCGAAAGTGTAGTTGGAAGCGATGAAATCAGGGGTCCATATGCAGCAGCGTTGTCATAAAGCTCAAACAATGGTGCAGCAACCAGCTTGAAATTTTTCGGAACGCAGAACGTGGCTGAAATAGAGATTTTTTATTCGGCGTTGTCTGTTTACTATGGAGTTCATGGTACATGAATAAATAAGGTACTTCTAGAGAAATCAATTTATGTGAATCTTACATTTTGCAGGGAGCTGAACAAGCAATAGTTTGGTGTGTTCTTTGGGTTTCGTCACATGTGCAGGAATATATGGGTAACGTGGAGGATCAAAGTTTGGGCGCCACCAGTTTCCTATTTCATCCTCGATGGTCCACTCATTTGACTCTCCGTCTGTTCTTCCAAGTGTATCGTTCAGGAGACGTGTAACTCCGGAAATTTCGTCTTCGCCGATTTCCAATTCACCACCAGGCCTAAAAATTTCAAGGCTAAATTATCGTTTTTGTCAGTTATCTCTTACAATTTATAGAATGTTGTTCCTATTTGAAGAAGCAGAATATGTGGGAGTGAATGTTCATGAACGATCAATACTGCTTCCACAGAACGCCGCATTCCAACCACTTCGTACTCGTCTTTCATTCTCTTGAACCTTTCAGGAACGGATTTATCCTTCTCAGCTTGAGCATCTTTTGTTCCGAAAGTATAGTTTGTGAGAGGATATACGTTGATGGTTCTGTTGAACGGCGGTTTCTCGTCAAAATTCATCGGAGACTCTGGAACTGATGCTGCAATTGTTGTTCGATCGATTTTTGGCCAGCTGTCATCCATCGCTTCTGAATTTAATTTTTTAGAGTTTGGAAAACGATGTTTTTATTTATTAAGAGTTTAAAAACTTAGTTCAATTTAATTCAGTCGAATAAATCATTTGGTTCGAACGCCTCGAATTCTGTGTTCCATGGCCTAGAATTATGTGGAGGTGGAGCGCGTTTGTCGATTCGGAACTCTAGGCCAAAAGTTAATTTTGATTGTAACTTTTTTATGGCGATTAAATTGGATATTGTTAAAATCATTTCTTATAAATTCTTGACAGTTAAATACAACAATTGTGATCGAAAATTGAGAAGGAAACATACGTCAAAGAACACTCGCCTATCATCTACTAGCTAGTCACATTTAAAGTGTAAACAATCGGGAAGAAGACGAAAAAGACAGAGAAAATGATCACTCTGATTTTCTCTGCCTCTCTCTCTCTCTCTCTCTCTTTCTAATTTTTAAACTATAAAATCTTTGCTCTCAAACTGTCTGTACAGACATCTGAACCTTCGTTTCTAAACTGTTTTCATATGCTAATTGTGCGAATGTATCAATAACCATATGATTTTTTTGTAGATAAATCGTCGAATTTGCACCATTCCATACAAAAAGCCAACAGCGTTCGATTGGTTGCCGATCTCATGCCGCACGACTCAAATGAGGTAGATTTAACCAATTGGTTCTAATAGATAAAATTTCTATTTTCAGGGGAAAAATAGACCCAGCGTCGTTTTGTCACTTTCAGCTGGTGCGATTGCCGGAGCATTAGCCAAGACGACGATTGCACCGCTAGATCGAACTAAAATTTATTTTCAAGGTATTTAAATTTCCTTCTCAAAACGCTAAACATAAATCTATTCCAGTGTCAAGTACTCGAGGTTATTCTTTTCGGTCAGCTATAAAGTTCATCAAGTTAACATATCGAGAAAATGGGTTCTTGGCTCTCTATCGAGGAAACTCTGCGACAATGGCTCGTGTTGTTCCTTATGCATCCATGCAGTTCGCAGCATTCGAGCAATATAAGAAACTTCTAAAAGTAGATGAAAATAAGTAAACGTTGAATTTTCAAGTTATGTGACTCAAAAATTCGGTTTTCAGTGTTCGAACACCGGTGAAGCGCTATATTACTGGATCCCTTGCTGCCACAACCGCTACAATGATCACGTATCCTCTCGATACTGCCAAAGCTCGATTGTCTGTATCTTCCAAGCTTCAGTATAGCTCACTCAGGCATGTATTCGCAAAAACTTATCGAGAAGGAGGTATTCGACTGCTCTATCGAGGGATATACCCGACAATTCTTGGTAAGTTCGAGTCATAAATGAGCACATAAGGGATATCTGGGGGAAAATTTGAAGTTTTTGAGCTTGCAAAAGGAGGGAAACGATAGTGAAAAACGACCATTCCAGAGATCTAGGTCTCCTCTAATAAACTGATTCAATTTTCACCAATTCCTTATTTAGTAAATAAAGGTTAATGTCAACTAGCTTTCAGGAGTGATACCCTACGCCGGCTCATCATTTTTTACCTATGAAACCTTGAAGATTATGTATCGGGATAGTACAGGAGAAGTGGTAAGTCAAGAAAAAATTTAAACTTTTCTCGATTATTATATTTCAGGAAAGTTCTCTTTTCCGGATGATGTTTGGTATGCTAGCCGGTTTAATTGGACAATCATCATCGTACCCTCTGGATATTGTACGACGAAGAATGCAAACGGGACGCATTCCGAGTGGATGGAGTCCTCTACGTGCACTCATCCATATTTACCACACGGGTGAGTTCAATTCGGAAGCAGTACCGAAACAAAGATATCTGAATTTTACAGAGGGTCTCAAACGAGGATTGTACAAAGGATTGAGTATGAATTGGCTGAAAGGACCGATTGCTGTTGGTGTATCGTTCACTACGTATGAAAAAGTCGTCGAACTCGTTGGTCATTTGAAGCGATAGCTCATGGAACTTGCCTAAATATAAAATGTTTCTCCCCATCTGTTTTTCTCTCGTTTCTTTCATTTGCCTAAGCATTCATTTTTAGGAACTGCCATTTAGATTTGGGATAGTTGATGATTTCTAGTTTTTTTTTTGGGATTTCAAAGAAATTTCTCCTTTCAAATATTGATTAATAATAATCAAAATCATATTTTTCTCTGTAAATAATCAATTTTGAATTTTTATTGTTTTCCCCCCGTTGTTTCATCCTCAAGTGCCAGTGTTTTCCGCCAAATTTTAGTGATTTTTTTGCTCAATTTATTAAAATACGATGTCATAAACTTTTTTATGTTCCGGCGCTATCGGAGTTCGCAAGTGGCTCTAAATCGATTTTTTATGCAAGTGTCCCAGTTGGAGGATTTCGAAAAAGGTCAAACTGTCCGGAAAAAAAATGTGGAAAACGTGCCAAAATTCTCTGAAATTTTCGTAGTTAGTTTTTCATGATTTCTACCAACTGGGACATCCGGCGTATCTTAAATTATCGAGTAGCACCACACAACCAAGGTAGCGCCTATTTCTCCACCTATATCTTTGGTTCCATCTTCTCCAACAATATTTTAATCAATTGTAATACAATAAGTGTTAACTGTCATATGTGATAGTTACAGAAGGATGTCTAGAATGCCTAATCAAAGTGAAGCCGTCACAGAAACGTTACTCAAAGGGGATGTCATATGGGTCCCGTATCGAAAGGATCCGTTGTGGCCTGCATTGGTAAAATTCCGCTTTTGTATAGTCAGAAATCACACCTGAAACGTTTCAGGTGCACAATGTGTATAAGAAAAAGGTTTCATACAGCTTCTTTCCGCTGCCTTCCAATGAGCAGGATATGAAGAAAAACAGATTCAGTTGCGCTTCTAAAGTTTGTTTTCATTTGAATACACGTATTCATAAAAATCTGTTCAGCGAACCTTTGCATTCGTCCGAACCGAGCCAATAGCTCCAAACGCAGATGAAGAATTCAAAAAAGCATTTGCTGCTGCTTGTGATTACTTGAAACAGGAGGGAAAAGTTCGTGGATCAGCTATCAATACAATTGCAGAGGCTGCTGAAAAAAACATAAGGAAAGAACGAGAAATCAAAAACCAAAAACGGAAACAAGTTGACCCAGATTCTCCGGAAAATCCTGAAGGGGACCGAGAAATAGATGAAGACGACGTTGCCCCACCTTGTAAATTTTTCCTTTTTTCTTTTGAAAAATCAAATAACACTTCAGCTCCAAAACGGACCATTTCAATGTCTTCTGACCGTCAAAGTTTTTCTTCTTCCTCTCAACAACCAATTACTAAAGAACAATCTCAGATCATGATGGCAGTTGTGAGTCTTCAATTCTAAATAAGCAGATATTTTGAAATTTTGAATTCAGATCAACGAACGCTTGGAGACGTACATAAATGAAATCTGGAGCACTACCAAGGTCCAGGAATTGCAGAATCAGAATATGCATAACGAGTTGATAATCAATGTGAGAAACAATCAGTTCTTAGAAGGTATACCGATGATTCTGAACAAAACTTTTTCAACCAGGAATTATTCAGAATCAGACTACAAAAATGTGTTCGAACGGATAGTGGAACTCATACGTTCTCGAAATTCATCCCTTTCTTTGATATCGGCATTCAACATAACTGCTTCTCATATCATTCCACATGTACTTATCAATTGCTACTCATCGTGTAAAAATGTAGGCCACCAAACTGCGAAGGCAATTTATTATCGCAAGAAGGCTCCTGTATACGGGTGAGTTTGAAAAAACTAAAGCGAATATCAAAAATCGTAAAAAGATTTCCAGACTTGATCCATCTATAAATATCCCAGTCACTGATCATTTGGAAGAACTCTGTCGCTTAGCCTGTGATGAAGGGGATGCCATACGAAATCGTACACCGAGCACAAATGTTTAATTAATACTTGATCTTATTGTTATAATTATTCGAATTGTAAATCAGGATAACATCCAGATATTCTTCGTTTTATCATAGTTTTATTACCATAAATGGTTATGATTATGCAGTTTAGTATTGTGGTCAAATGAAAAGTGATTTGATTTTAGTTCACTTGGAATCATTAAACAGAGTAGCTACCCAAAAAGCGAAATGTTCTTGTTTTTGTAGAATGAAATGAAAATGGCGAGTTATCACTAGGTGTTTGAAAGTAAGCTTAGAAATATGGGCATTAAAATTTCCCAAATAAATAAAACCCAAAAGAAAACTAGAAAAGGATGTCTGACAGTAAGAAGAAATCTAGGCAGCATGAGTTGTTTTATGCATGTGGTGCTCTGCTTCCTCCTGTTCTTCGTAGAATGTGAGTAGTAGAGGAAGGACACAGAAAATCAACAGAACTCCTGGAAAATTGAATTAGATGTACAACGAAAACTAGAAAAGAGACTTTACCAATTATGATCATCCAAACAGAAACAGTAGGTGATGTCGGAGCACGAGCCGTTACAAAATGGAAGCCATTAGCTCCGTGGCCATCCTCCGGAAGTGCCTCTCGTACTTGTGCTGGAATAAAAAGGTTTTTTGATTTTAAAATAAGTTTTCTAAGTACCAATGTTTGTATCGGTTTTATGAAAAATGTCTTCAACACTTGGATCTCTTGAACCTTTATCATTTTTTAGGAGTGTTGTTCTATCGTCGATGTCTGAAAAATAACGGTTGAAATGAAAAAAAATCGAGTTCTGTACCAATCAATATTTCATCTTCTTCTTCATCTTGACTAGAAACCGATTGCACACCTAATGCCATTCTCATCCGACTAACCGGAATTTTCACCTTCGAAAGTGCCATAAAATCTTGTTCTGACACCATATTGTTGACCCGTTTAATTTCAGCGACCTGCAAACTTTTTATTCATATTTTCGAATCTACAACAAAAAATGAACACCTACATTAACTTGATATTTTATGGCCAATTTGTTGAGCGTATCGCCATGTTTTATATTTCTTTCAATTAAAACTATGTCTTTGTAGGTTGGCATGTCATTTTGGAATCCCTCATTCGATGATGTTCGAGCCGCACGACTTCTCATTGCAAATTGCTCCACAGAGCTCCCTTCTTTCATCGACATTCTGCTGAAAATTTGAAAAAATCGATTCATAATGATAGAGAACGAAAAATGGAGAAAATTAGAGATGCAGAAAACTACAGTAATTTTAAGAAACAGCGTAAAATCTGTTTTGTGGTTCTCGAAGCGCTTTGAATTACAGTATTATTAACCAGCTATAGCTGCAGCTAGAAATTGTGAAGCAGGTTTTTATCGCCACTCTCTTTTTAGACTAGTTTCCAGTTATAAATTACTCCGAAAGCTTCATACTGTTCTAATTCGTTTTGTCATAAACCGTGTTAGAAAAAATAAAGGAAGTGCTAATTTAACACTTATTCTAACTATTCTATGCCTATCTTGAAGAAGCCGAATCAAAACGATTCAATAAAAAATCCACGTATCGTAAAGCTGTGATGTCGCTGCCCGTAGATGCAGGTGGCAAGGCGATTTTATCCGGTCTACGTCTTGGAGCGTTGCAAGCAGGAATCTAGACAGAAAGTCGACATAGAAAAAAAGAAGCTATGTGTCTTTTGTGTGAGCGTCTAATGCCCTCCACTTGCTTCACTCTCTCGTTTTATTTGCTGGCCGCCCTTTCCACTACTCGTTGAGATGCGCTCTATCGAACACTTTCCCGGCTGCTACCGCCCTTATTTTCGGCTCCCAACAGTTTTTAAGGCTTTATCTCAGTCCCTCTGGTTGAAGTTGTCTAATTAAAGTTTTTGTTTTCTAGCAGGCTTAAAGTTCCACCTCATAATTCGTCATTTTCGCAAGTAGGCTTACTCAGAAAGTCGGAGGCCCAATTTTTTGAAGGAACGCAAAAAGGCGCTAATTAATAAAAAAAGCTACTAAATCAAATTTCTTGAAATCAGATCATGATTAAAAATATTATTTTGATATTTCGAATCCCATTTGTTTTTTTTCTTTGCTCGAAATCCAATTTTTCGTTATATCCTTCTTCAAAGTAATGTTTCATCCAACATTGAGAACTCACAGGGTTCACCATGCTTGGCAAATGCATCAAAAAGGCCTCCTCGCTGTCTACCATTGGACAAACCATGCGGTACAGCTCTGGAGATGTTCGCCGCGTCACTTTGATTCCAGGAGACGGAATTGGACCTGAAATCTCCGCTGCTGTGCAGAAGATTTTTGAAGTGAGCATCAAGAACTTGAAACCCAGTTTTTTTTCTAATCTGGAAACTCTAAACGCAACACAGTAATATCAATTTAGGCAGCCAACGCCCCTATCGCTTGGGATCCTGTCGATGTCACTCCAGTTAAAGGACGTGACGGAGTCTTCCGTATTCCAAATCGCTGTATTGAGCTCATGCACGAGGTTAGTGTTTTTCCGAGCTTGATAGCAAATAATGTGATAACAGAACAAAGTCGGACTCAAAGGCCCACTTGAGACGCCTATCGGAAAAGGACATCGATCGTTGAATTTGGCTGTAAGAAAGGAGTTCAATCTCTACGCCAACGTTCGTCCATGCCGTTCTCTTGAAGGACACAAGACACTTTATGATAATGTCGATGTTGTGACTATTCGTGAGAATACTGAAGGAGAATACTCTGGAATTGAGCACGAGGTGAGTTTTGTTTGCTTTATAGGAGACGGCCTTTTTGGGAAAATAATTATCACTGAAGATAATAATATTTTTTCAGATTGTCCCAGGAGTCGTCCAATCTATCAAGCTCATTACTGAAACTGCTTCGCGAAATGTCGCCAGCTTTGCCTTCGAGTATGCTCGTCAAAACGGACGCAAATGCGTTACTGCTGTACACAAAGGTAAGTCAAGAATTATTCCTTGAAAAAAAACAGTCTAAAATACTCAAATTCAGCTAACATCATGAGACAATCCGACGGTCTGTTCCTGTCTATCTGCCGTGAACAAGCTGCTCTTTACCCAGATATCAAGTTCAAGGTATTCATTATATCAATTTCGATAAAAATTATCTATGAATCGACTCATTCAGGAAGCCTACCTCGATACTGTCTGCCTGAATATGGTCCAAGATCCATCCCAGTACGATGTTCTTGTTATGCCAAACTTGTACGGAGACATTCTCTCCGATTTGTGCGCTGGTCTTGTCGGAGGACTCGGAGTTACACCATCCGGAAACATTGGAAAGGAAGCAGCTGTATTTGAGTATGTCTTTTTATAAAACTGTAGAACAATCAAAAATATGGGTATTAAATTCTATAATGAAGAAAAAACGTCTGAAACGCTGGTTTCGAAGACTGAGCCATCGTTTTAGAAACTGTTTTTTAGATCCTGTTCTCACAAAAAGTACGAGTACCTTACTTAGGAACTTGAAAAAAAAACATTACACCATATTCTTTTATTGTCAACTTTAATTTAACGGTATTGAACGAATTCGTAGATCTGTCCACGGAACAGCCCCGGATATTGCTGGACAAGACAAGGCCAATCCAACTGCTCTACTTCTTTCCGCTGTCATGATGCTGCGTTATATGGTGAGTAATTTATTCAACAATTGGACATTGACGAATTCTAATTCAGAACTTGCCACAACACGCTGCTCGTATCGAGAAAGCCGTATTTGATGCCATTGCTGACGGTCGTGCCAAAACCGGAGATCTCGGAGGTTCTGGAACATGCTCATCCTTCACCGCTGATGTCTGCGCCCGTGTCAAGGACCTCGAATGAAAATCTCCCTTTTTCCTGATTTTGTCTTTTTTTTTCGTTGTTTTCAGAATGTTAGACACTAAAACCCTTGATGACCTAGTAACGATTTCTATAATAATCTTTATGGTTTCTCACTCTGTATAGTTTTTTTTTCTAATGACATCCACATCCCCGCGTCTTTTATCGCTTTACTTCAGTCCAACCATGTGAACTTTTTTTTTGTGTCTGCTTGGAAATAACCAAAACATGGAATTAAGTCCCGATATTCTACAGACCAGCAGACATAATAACAGAAAACAACAACTAATTTAATTCGGTTTAGTCTGTCTTCTCCCGCATAAACCTCTTCCTGCAACATCTTCCGAATTTCATTTTTTTATGTTCTTCAAAAAATTGCTCATGTTTCTTTTTCTTTGACAAAACAATTACAAGTTTATTAGAAAGGAATATGCTTCTAAATATGAACAAAGCTATTAACTGTTTAAAGCGTAGCATGTAATCGTGTTACAGAAGTCACGAAAATCAGAATCGTTTGAACAATGCCCATCACAGCGCAGTACCATGTACTCACGGCCTGAAAATCAATTTGTGATATTTAAGACATTTTATTTATTTTTCAAAGCAAAACTTACATTCTTTGAAGCGTACATTGCTAGCGCTAGGACCATTGATGTTGGAGCACCGAAGACGAATGGGATAATAAACATCATTACTACAATATAGCTTTGATTTCAAGTTTTGAGATAATCAGCTTACTTATGAATGGTATCGGAATGAAGCAAGCGTATGGGTGTTTTCTTAATGTGATGAGTGAGAGAAGAGACGCTCCAATACTTATTATCTGAAAGGCAATGTAAAATAATCACTTTTGTTTTCTTTTCATTATCACCATGAAAGAGAGGGTCATCCAGAGGAAAATGCTCAGACTTATTTCCCACCAATCGTTCATCCATTTTCCAGAGAGTAATAGAGCTCCAGCGACAGAGTATGTGCTGTAAGGTGAAAATAACTTCGGCCTAGAACATTTGTGTCTTGCTAGAATTTGAAATTATTTAATTCTAGAACACTGAAAACGAATTTGGGTTGTTTAGAATAATTGTGAATTCCAACTTTGAGTGGAAGTCAAATATTTTTTAAAAATCAAAGCTTCTTTCAACATAACGAACACCAGAGATTTCTCTGGCGCTTATAAACGTAAACGTATGATATCGATTCTGATATTTTATTAAGAACTAAAAAGCTGGAAGCTTTCATCGTTATATCCAACCTTTCGCTAGTCAAATTTGTATAATTCCTAGAAGTTTCGAACAGAGATAAAATCTCTTTGGTGTCGTCTGGCATTTTGATCACCGTTTGCTCATGTCTGAAACTTGTGATTGAAATGAATTGAACATATTGAATGAAGATAGATGTACAGATATAACTCGACTGTTCACTAATTTCTTTAGCCAGGATGTTCTAAGAAATTCTGGTATCTGAAAATTTATCATTCTTCCTACGGGGGATACGATTTATGAGGGGATGAAAGAAGGAGCAAACATTATCAAAAGATAATAAGTTATCTCAAGAATTGCGACAAGAAGATTGCAAACACTCTGGAAAATGTGCAAGTTGATCGGGATGCAAAAAAAAGAAACCACCGAGGATAACTTTAAACGGACGAGAGGCTGAGAGAGATCATGGGGAGGGGATGAATATGAAAAACAATCGTTGAAATGCTAAACTGAAAAAAAAAAACTACACGAACGCGTATGTTCTGAGATAACTAGGAACGAAATGAAGAGAAATGTACACTCGATACATAAACTTGGATAATGAAGACACTCTGTAGGACAGAACACATGAAGAAAATACGAAAAAGTTATGAAAATTGTAATTTCAAAAATTGGGAAAATCTGAAAAGAACATAGTGATTCTATGTGGAATGAGAAAGTCTGATGAGAAAACTCGTTGCGAAAGCAGTTGCGATGAATCTTGCAGACATCTCATCGAACCAATTGGATGGAGAGCCAATATCTGCGATAGCGCTGTCTGAAAACATTGGATGCGTTCTCAGGTGAATTTCTGACTTATGTTTACCAATGATGACCGAACTCGTCTCTTCATGCAACTTTCCCTGACATAATTTCTCAAACGTGATTCCTCCTCGTGTCACAGCCGGCACTTTTCTTTCGACATGACGGAGACCATTTGTGGCGCAACCAAATTGAAGAAGATGGCAACGAGATGGCTCTAACATGGCTGGAACACTTTCGATGCACACATAATGCGACGATATCCCGTTGCTCTGAGCACGAAGCCAGCATTCAACGTCATCATTTACTTCAGGTGAGAGAATGCAGATGATCTGAAGAGAAAAACGAAAAATTCGCGAAGCAAGAGTTTTTAGCGAACCGGAACTTCTCTGGGCAATTGTTTAACATCGCCAACAACGCTGACATGCTCGAAGTGCTCTCCAGGATATTTTCCGAACAGATGACAATTATATCGCCTCTTTTCGAAATGAGTCAGAAGACGTCGAATGAAACGGACAGAGTTAGACGCAGATGCGAGTAGGACGATAGTTCCGTGAGAATCTCCATGAGACATCTGAACTTCCGAAATCCATTGGAATGCGCGATCAGCCACGACTGTGTCGAAAACAGCTTCGCCGAGCGATCCTTTGCATTCCTGTTATAACAAAAGGTTATTCAAATAGTGGTTGTGGATCTTTCGTACGTTCAAATATTCCTTCTTTTCGTTATGACTGATTGCAGGAATCGGATCTCCATTCATCGATTTCTCAAAGCTGACGCCAGTGACTTGAAAATTCGTTTTACTAAAAAGTAAACATATTCACCTGATATTTCTTTTGAAACTAACAGTGACTTCTGTGGTGTTCCTGATTTAACAAGACCGGAACGAGCTTTCAAATTGGTCCACGAAGTAACACGGTTCTCATCATCAATGATATTTTCATAATGAGCAAAGTTTTGAGAAACTTTCAACTTCTCGACGTTTTCATAGTACTCGTCGTCGTCTTGCTACAATCAAAGAGTTACTTATGCTCTTGCTAAAAACAATAACATACATCTTTTTCAAACAGTTTCAAGTTTTCAGCAAAATCGAAATCCGACTCCAAGTCAAAGTCAATGGGTTCCGAAAGATCGTTTTTGCCGCGACGACCGATTCCTTTGTAATGATTCAATGCGTCGAGTACGGGATTACCAGATGGACCTGTTATTTTTTGTTATAAGGAACTTTCGAAGCTGTTTCAAACAACCTTGTTTCTTGGAACATTTTCCCCCATTTGGCATGATAGCACTCAAAACTTTGGGATTCGGAACTTGCGGCTCGAAACTTTTGAACAGTGGAGTTTCAGAAATTTCTTCTGTCATCTGTAAACACAGATATCTTCATAAATCATCAACATAAATCACGTACATGAGTGAAGCCGTTTCTTTTTGGCGAAAGACGGTGATTTCTCTTCGATCCTGTTTGAGATTCCATCGAGTGTTGCTCAAAGAGTTTCTCTAGACATGCTGTAATCGTCGTGATATGGAAAATAGCCGCACTAAAACTCCATTTTCTTACTTTTTTTTGGGGACTTTACTCTGGGTTTTGATTGCAATAACTGACACTTATTCGAGGCTGGAAGCGATGAGACAGAAGATGATGTCACTGATGTTGACGAGACCGGCAAATCTTCCGATTTTTTCGATGGTCGTTGTTTCTTTTGAGGCACAGAATTCGACGACGGAGATGGTTTAACTGGAGAAGCCGTTTGCGTTGCTCCACGAATAACTTTTAAGCTGGAGATGTCGGATGTTGATAGTGTAGCACAGCGATGAAGCGGCAGTCCATTTCTGTAAAAATTGAACCCTAGACCGACATACTTTCATAAGTTGATTATACTTGATAACATTCGCCATGGTGATATTTCCATTATGAGTGTCCAACGTTGTCAATTTTCCTTGATAAACACTACCGTCTTTCGTTTCTGCTGAAATAACGCTTCCAATGTGCTTGTCGTCCATTTTTAGCAGGAATAACAAAGACCTGCTCAAAGAAAGGGAATAAGCATGATCCAAAAGTTATGAATTAATGGTATGATAAACGGTTGAGACCGAAAAAAAGAATATAGTAAAACACTTTCATTAATTTTATCAAAAGATAAGTTTATATCTTCTTCAGGATTCTGTTCACGAAGAGATCAGATAAAAAATAGTTCAATTCAAGAATAATGAAATCTATCCCATAAAATCGAGCGGTCGATTGAATCCACCTTTCCGATTCATGTATTGACGATATCTGCGCGGTTTTTTGATGTTCACACAACCATCAACATTGTCGTTCACCTGAAATTAAGCGTAACTTGTTTCGTGAATCTTTGAGTAAAGTATTGGGCATACCTGTTTGTTTTTAGTAGTGTTGAAACCCCCGAATCCCATTGCAGCCATCATGGCTTCATCATCTACACTCTGCACTGACTCCAAACTGATTTCCTCTGAAAAATTTCATATGATCATAAGTATTACGCATAATTAGAGTGCATACCTTGTTTTTCCTTCCTATTTGGCTCTCGATCTTTTCTTTGACGTTCACGGTCGCGTTCCTTCCGTTCACGAGACCGACTCCGTTCTCGCCGATCTCGCTTGTCACGAGGGCTTCTGCTGCGACTACTTTTTCTTTCTTTTCCGTCACGGGTGTTACGTCCACCTCGTCTTTCTCTGTCACGACTTCTGCTTCGTTCTCTTCGTCGTTCTATTGATCGTGATCGTGAACGCTTTTTTCTCTCTCGACTGCGACTGCGATCACGACCCATGATCAGTCCGCGTTCTGAAATGCAATCTAGAAAAGCTTTCTTATAGAAATTCGGTAATAGATTCAGAAAAATGAGCAAATTCAAGTGTAGTTTCGTTAACCGAATTGTCGAAATGCATCAATATTCGAGTACAGCGGAGCGCAAGTGCTCGAACAAAGCACTTTCTGGAGACCCCGCAAATTCCGGGGGAAGACATTA